CAGTCAATCAAGAGACCTCCCCTAGCCTGTAATTGTAGGCAGAGACTGGCCTCATGGCCCAGCCCTGTTACAAGATGGGTACTGCTTAGACGAGCTGGTTGTTTCTGTGGCACAGGGAGTGGGATGCTGCACAGTGATGCAGCCAGACGGAGAACTTAGACAAAACCCTTGTGTTCCAGCAGCCCGTACGGCACGTGGCTCCAGTCTGTGTGGGTCTGGGTGTGACGCTCCTCCACGCAGACGTGTTGGGATTTAACTAGGCACATTCCAGTCACCAGTGAGGGGCACTACTAAGGATTATCAGGGTCTGGACATTGAAGGCCAAATCTTGGGCCCGTTGACCCATTGGGCATTTTGCCATTCACTGTCCATGGGACTAGGGTTAGACCCCTTATGGAGCCTCACTGCGGTACCCAGATCCAGTGATAATCCGCCTAAAACACTCCAATGTCCCGTTCCCAAATGCATGTCATGGGAGGAGAGACACCTATCTGTTAAATGCCAGCTCACCCTGCAGTGCCAACCCAGTGAGATTCAGAGCCCGAACAGCTGGGTGTTAGATCCCAGAGCCCAGGCATTTCTCACACACGAACAAAGCCAGGGTAGGAAAGGAACAGATCCTGCCCATGATATGAACAGCACCACGAGGAGCAACTGAGCCTGCAAAATGACCAGGATAAACAAGACACAGAAGGGGCTCCCCATGGTGGGGACATTGAGAGCAACCAAGTAGTAAAGACCCCACCACTCGCGCCAGTCCTGCTGTAGGCATACCTGATAAGTCATGGGAGTTCCCAAGACCTAGCTATTCTTAAAGTAAATATTAGCCCAGAGGGACTAATTGGATGGACACAATAACACACTGCCACACTCATAAATGGCAAACTGGGCTGTAGGTAGCTGGGACCTGTCATGGATCTCTCCTTAAACTCCAGAGACTGAAGAGAATAAAATGGGATTTGGGATACACCTGGATTTTTCCCGTTTACTCTTCTGCAGATGGGTGACATAGTTCAGTTTTGACTGGGCAGCAGGGGGCGCTGTCTCTCTGCACTTGTATCATGAATTGTTTACAATGGAATAAAGTAACTGTTCAATACACATTTTTAAAGAGCCTGGTGCACAGACCGTGGTGTTTGAACAGCTGCGTCCTTTCAGATCCCTCATTCAGACCGAGTGGTGGGGAAGGAGTGAGACACAAAATCAGAGACACCCAAATGTACTGATATAGTTGTAGATTTATGAACCACTTCTCATTATAATTGTTGGGTATTTATTTGGAATGAGGTTTTTTTTTAATTACAATTCAATTAACTGATATTACATTTAATGCCTATATTACAAAAATGTTGCCCAGGAATGTCCTTCAGAGGTGGCTGAATCACTGTGATTATTACGTATCTGTAGTTCTGTGGCCCCTGGGAGGACAGGTCACGGCCCAGGTCCCCATTGTGCTGGGCGCTGTACAAACACAGAACACAGAGACGGTCCCGGCTAAGGAGGGAACAATCTCAGTTTGAGACAAGAGACAACGGGGTGACAGACCGGCCTGTGGGTGGCAGAAGGCAGCAATGAGACAATCCTGGCAGCGGGATGGGAAGGGTCTCAGCACACCCATGGCCTCACTGCTGTCAGTTTGTTCGTAGGCATCACGGCAAAGGGAAGCTGGAGGGAGGGTGGCAGGAGGGGAATGAGTTAGTTCTGGGGGTGTTCCCAGGGCGCGTGTCCATGCGTGAAGGGCAGCATGGGGGACGCTGGCACGGCTGCACTGCAGAGGTGGCGGCAGTGACCCCTCTCCATGTGCACGTGATAGGAAATATCTGTGTGCCAAGCGATGCAAAGCTCGTCCATTGCTCTCTACACGTTAGACGTGCTGCGCTAACATTACGGTAACGACTCCTCTCAGCAGCCCTGTAACGGCCATTCACAGAGTAAAGGCCAGATTCAGAACTGAGCACTCCTAGCTGTACCCACATGGAACTGACATCCCCTTCCGCCCCCCGCTGGATTTGGCCCAGTGAGGCTGACTCCACGGGAATGATCCAAGTTTGTTTCTCTGTCACTGTGAGGGGCCAGGAGGACAGGGGAGTAGCTAGAAAAGCCAGGGACAAGCGGCCACAGGGAGGTGTTGTAACATCACCCTCTATTCAGTGTGGATCATGCTTCCCCGTCTGTCCAGAACATGGCGCAGATACCAAGGACACGACTTACGACCGGATTTCTAAAGGGATTGAGACGCCTACAAGATGTAACTAGGGCCCTTTAAAAATCTGCCCCTTAGTCCTTTGGCTCAAGATAGAGCATCTCCTGTTCAGCTCTAGAGTGCTCCTGTTCAATCCCTGGTGCCAATCTAGCTGACAGTCACTCCAGAGTGTTTGGCACCAGGTAATATTGATGTTTGCATCCATGCAGGTAGTTGCAACTGCTGCCTACAGACTAAGAAATTATTTGGTCAGAGAGACTAAGTAGTGATCAGATTTACTCTGCTCCATGCGCAGCTTGTAAACATGTGATTCCCCATAACTAACAATAAACATTTCTCTGAGATCCAGCTCCCTGCACAGGCAGTTAGAGAGAACTGGTCAGTCTGTGTGATGCCACCATCTGGTTGTGTTAAATATTATTTAAGGAGTAGGTTAAACTAAGGACCCCTTATAATAATTAATAGTAGGAAAATCTGTTTCAATTTGAACTTGAAATAATAATTGAAAATGTACAAATTTATAGGGAGGTGCTTTTTTTTTAAAATAAAAAATCTTATTTAAAATAAAGCCTAAACCGGAAGTTATATTTGAAATCTGAGCGTCTTTGAGGTTAAATTTGAAACTTGAGTGTCTATGTACTTGTTAATAGTCAGGATTTAGATTTTCAAAAGACCTGCAGCCAATGAACATAGAGCAGATTTGCATGAAGGGGCCGTTCTCCAGCGCTGGGGGTTTAAGAGAGAATCGGAGGGTCCCAGCCAGAGACCCGTTTGCCTCAGGGAGCCGAGCTCGTCTGGATTCCCACCATGGCCTGGGCCCCTCTGCTCCTCGCGCTGCTCGCTTACTGCTCACCGATAAACAAATTGGATGGACACAATAACACGCAGCCACCCTCATGAATGGCAAACTGGGCTGTAGGTAGCTGGGACCTGTCATGAATCTCTTCTTAAACTCCAGAGACTGAGGCCTTGGCTACACTTGCAGATGTACAGCGCTGTGAGTTTAACCTGATTTCGTACAGCTGAGTAGAGAAAGTGCTGCAGTCTGTCCACACTGACAGCTGCCCAGCGCACCGTCGTGGCCACATTTGCAGCATTTGCTGTGCCATTGGGAGTGGTGCATTATGGGCAGCTATCCCACAGAGCACCTCTTCTCATTCTGGTGCCATGGATTGTGGGAAGGGGGCGTAGGTGCGGGGCATTCTGGGTCCTGTCCCAACGCCCTGTGATGCATTGCTTCGCATCCCAGAAATCCGTCCACCTTTGGCGCCATCTTTCAACGGTTTCTGGGCAGCGCGATCTGTCTGCGGGAAATGGAGCCCGAACTGCTCAGGCGTATGCTGACTTATCTCGCCAGCACGTCACGTTTGGCTGTCGAACTATTCCTTAATATCCAAAGTGACAGTGAGAGTGAAGGTGAGGAGTCCGACGATGCTATTGAGATGCGTAACGTGTCTGACACGAAATTGCTTGTGGCATTCATGGACATGCTCAGCACCGTGGAACGCCGCTTTTGGGCTTGGGAAACAAGCACCGAGTGGTGGGATGACATCGTCATGGAAGTCTGGGATGACGAGCAGTGGCTGCAGAACTTTCGGATGAGAAAAGCCACTTTCATGGGACTGTGTGAGGAGCTTCCCCCACCCTGCGGCGCAAGGACACGAGATTGAGAGCTGCCCTGCCAGTGGAGAAGCGGGTGGCTATTGCAGTCTGGAAGCTGGCAACTCCAGACAGCTACCGGTTGGTCGCAAACCAGTTTGGAGTGGGAAAGTCGACCGTTGGAATCGTGTTGATGCAAGTTTGCAGGGCCATTAATCGCATCGTACTCAGAAGAATCGTGACTCTGAGTAACGTGCAGGACATAGTGGATGGCTTTGCACAAATGGGGTTCCCTAACTGTAGAGGGGTGATAGATGGGACGCACATTCCTATTCTGGCACCACCCCACCTAGGATCCGAGTACGTTAATCGGAAGGGGTATTTTTCTATGGTTCTCCAGGCGCTTGTGGATCACCGAGGGTGTTTCATTGACATTAAAACAGGCAGGCCCGGAAAGGTGCATGACGCACGCATCTTTCGGAACACTTGGCTGTTCAGGAAGATACAGGCCGGGACTTTTTTCCCAGAGCGGAACATCACGGTAGGGGAAGTCGAAATGCCCATTGTGATCCTTGGAAACCCTGCTTACCCATTAATGCCGTGGCTCATGAAACCCTACACAGGGAGCATTGACAGCAGCAAGGAACGGTTCAACTACAGGCTGAGCCAGTGCCGAATGACTGTGGAGTGTGCCTTTGGCTGTTTAAAGGCCCGCTGGCGATCTCTGTATTGGAAGCTGGACTTGGCCGAAAACAGCATCCTCGCGATTATATCCGCGTGCTGCGCCCTCCATAATATTTGTGAAGGGAAGGGTGAAAGCTTCACTCAGGCATGGACCTCTGAGGTTCAACACCTGGACGCTGAATTTGCACAGCCAGAGAGCAGGGCTATTACAGGGGCCCAGCCCAGGGCTGCAAGGATTAGGGATGCCTTGAGGGAGCAATTTGAGGCTGAAAACCAGCAGTGATATCTGGTGCCCTGCAAGGGAGTGAAGTGCAGTAGTTCCAATCTTTAGG